TTTCTTGAAATCATCTAAGCAATTAAAACTGACATTCAGTAGACCATCTCCATTTTCTTTGACATCAACTGGAAACTTAGAATATCTTTCTTTCTTTTTCTATTTTTTTAAAATATTTCTCAGTTCAGCATAATTTTATCCCATTTTAGATCTGTACAACCAGCCTTGGAATTAGTCAGAGAATACATTATTGGATTTTGATTATCTTGGATTAATGTATTTTACTTAAATACTGCTATTAGCTTCCTAATTAAAAAATTGCATGGGAGAGTAATTCTGGAGGTAGTAACCTCATGTACATGAACATTTTTTCTCAAAGCAGACTTCTTCCAATCCAAGTGTACTGTTCTATCACAATTGTGCACTATTATCCAGGTATATCATTATATTTAAATATTTCAGGTACCACACTTATAATAGGAATCTTTAACATCAAACTTAAGGCAGCAGTATTTAGGTTATCATTCAAGACCATGAATTTACCTTCCTTGATACTTATCCTACATATATGTATATTGCACTCTTATTCAAATTGATCAGAGTAAGGTAACCCTTGATCCAAGCTGTAGCTATCCAATTCTCTTCCATGAAACTATGATTTAGGGTTGAGTTCTTAGCCTTGGGCAAGTCTGGTATCTTTAACCAAAGAAATGCTTGTAAAACTTGAAAGATAAATTCATTTTGTGGATCTGAAGATATAGTAAAACAAGACATGTAGTGGCACAAGCCTATGGCAGCTAGAGAAAACAAGATGGCTGAAAATTTTGCAAGGCAAATTGTGGATTTATTAAGAAGATACCTAGTGGCATGCCAGACTACGGAGAGGCAAATATCCTCTCATATAGCTCCTTTCTATTCTCACTTTCTACATGCTTTCTTACAGAGTTGACTGTGGCATACCTTTCCCAGGAACAACTCAGAAAATCTCAGCTACCTCATATGGTTTTCTGCTAGACAGCTCTTGTTAATGTGTCCTGGTATTTCTACAGCAATCTGGCCAACGCCCTGGACATCCTCCTTTGGGGAACACAGCATATACTCTAGGGTTGAAAGCAGTCTGTTTTCTTTTATCCTCATGGAAAATACATGCTTATTGTTTTGGTTACCTAGTGCTGCTCTCAGGAATATACCACAAATGGGATGGCTTTAACAAACAGCAGTTTATTCTTACAATTTTTGGAGGCTAGAAGTCCGAGTTCCAAGTGCCAGCTCTAGGGGTTGTGTTAAAGCTGGCACTTGGAACTTTGCTATTAAGTGTTTTGCAGTTATCATTTGTAAAAAAGTTGAATAATGGATATTGTTTCATGGACTCCCCACTATCCAGTTCTCTAGCTGCAAAATAATAGTTTATGGGAATCTTTTATCCACTGTTGAGAGGACCTTCATCTATTAGACTCTTTGTGAAATCCTAAGGACACCAATGGACAATTCTCTGGACAGGAATCTATGTTTTCCAAAATATTACAATTCAGGACAAAGTGTCCATGGAAACTTTTATCACCACTACAACTATCACTATAAAAAGGACTTCTGGTGGTGCAGTGGGTAAGGCATTTGGATTCTAACCAAGAGGTCAGTGGTTCAAATTCACCAGCTGTTCCATGGGAAGAAGAGAAGGCAATCTACTTCTGTAAAGATTTACAGCATTGGAAACCCAATGGGGGTCACTATGAGTCAGAATTGACTCGATAGCAGTGGGTTTTATATAGCTCCTAAGGCATTTGACTACTAACTAGAAGGCTGGTGGTTCAAACCCACCAGCTACTCCTTAGAAGGATGATTGGGCAATCTACTTCTGTAGTGATACCACCTCAGAAACCCTTCAAGTCAAACCAGGTTTTTGGTGTATTTATTTATTTATTTATTTTGGGAGGTGGGATCACTGCTACTTCTGTGTTTGAAATATTTGAGGAAATCATACTTTTTATTAATTATCTATTGAAGGTCTTCTGAAGAAACAACCTCTTATATTTCTCTACAACTCCTTTTAAGGCTTTATGTTTTTGGATCACTTCTTTGTTTTGAATTCTCTATGGTATCAATCTTGGGCTACCGCTTGCTCTTCCCATATTTGAGATTCTTGAACAATAAGATACATGCCATTGTTTTAGTTATCATCTATCTACTAATCCTTAATAAATCTATCTTTGAAGCCCCAGTCCATTCCCTGAGTTTGAGGTTTATATATTTAGCAAGTTGTAAAAAAAGCATTTAATTGCCTGCAGAAATCATGTACAAAATTGTACTTATCATCCTCCTATCCCTACTTATATTTCCAGTAAAATGTGCCATCATCTACCCAGTCATTAATGTCAGGAAAAGACTGCTTGGGTAAGATTGTGGGAATAGGCATGTTCAACAACTATTGCACTGATCTAGCACTATGTATATAGATGTGACATGTGGGGAAGCATGCAGACATCTTTAGTGGTCAAACCATTAAATATTAAACATATAACATGAATATGTCACTCCCTAGAATATGTCACTCACAAGTACACTTTCTATTTTGGGCTTTTCATTAAGATTTACTTTCATCATTATCAACTCTAATGATCCTATATGATAGATTGTGCCTACTAATATCCCTAGAGATGATTATATGATAATATTTAGCCCCCATTCTGCTATTTTTTTTTTCTTTAACTTAGGTTAACTTTGCAAATATCTCTTCTAATTTTGTAAGAGTACAATTCTGAGTTCAGAATTGCCTTAAACCAAAAACAAAACAAAACAAAAAAAAACCTCACTGCCATTGAGTCAGATCTCACAAATAGTGAGCCCTACTTGGGTTTCCAAGGAAGTATCACTATGGAAGTAGATCACTCAATCTTCCTTTTGAGGAGTGGCTGTGGGTTTGAACTTCCAGCTTCCTGGTTAGCAAGCAAATGCCTTAGGCACTACGATTAGATGCACTATAAAATGAATAATAACACCAATGAGGAATGTGCTCTTCAGAACTATCAACTATTCCAAACTAAAAAGGCAATATTTGGCCAAAGACAAAGTTAGAAGGCAGGAAAGGCCAGAGAAACCAAAAGAATGGAAATAAAGACTCAGGGGTGGAAAGAGGAGGAATGCTGACAAGTTGCAGAGGTGTAGAGATGGCAACGAATGTCACCATCTGTATATGGATTATTCGATGGAAAACTGATTTGCTATAAAGACTGCATAACGTGAATGAACTTGGAGGACATTGTGCTGAGTAAAATAAGTCAATCACAGAAGGACAAATACTGTATTAGTCTACTATTGGAAAAAGTCAAGGAAAAGTTTATACATAGAAGGAAACTTTGTTGGTTACCAGAGATGGAAGGGGAAGGAGGGTTAATTTCCTAGATAGGTTGGGAAAAAAAATGTATATATATATTCCAAAGTATTCCAAAGATTATTAGTGGTTACCAGGGGTAAGAAGGAGGTTGAAAGGGGAAGCTTTTGTTTGCAGGACATTGAGTTTATGCTACTGGTGGTGGAATATTTTGGAAAAAGATAGCAACCAATGGTGGCACAATATGAAAAATGTCATCAATCTCCCTGAGCTGTAAGTGGGGAAGTTGTTATGTTGGCAAATGTCTTGTGTTTATTTTCAT